TATATATATATATATATATATATATATATATATATATATATATATAAAAACTTTAGATATGCGATACAAAGGTCTTACCTTTGAGTTATTCTTTGGACGTATCTCGCGATCAAGTTTGAGGATTTCTATTTCACCGAGAAATTTTGCAAAGAAGTTGGTTCACCCTTTGGAACTTTAAAATTCAATGCAACGAGCTATTCATTTCAAAAACTCGCGGACTCGTGGTTAAATTTAGCGCAAACTTCTAAAGAGCGTATTGCGGATTGTCGAAATACAAAACCTGGTTGGGAGAGATGATAAGTCGAAAAAATTGTTAACAATCGTTTAGGGAAAAAATTCCAAACCCTCGGATAAATTTTGTTCGTCCAAAGGGATATTTATCTCGATCGTGTGTCGAGCGAAAGCTTAATTGCAACGAATGCGAATAAAAAGAATTTTCTTATTAATAAATTATTTCGTATAATGCCATGTTTTAATATCATTAAAATCGCGAAACGATAAATTTTCCTCTTTGACGTTGCTTTAAATTTAATCGAACAAGAGAAAAGAAAGAAAAAAAAAAAAAAGAAAATATCTATATATATACATATATAATAAACGGAAGACGATAATTATTTTTTTTTTCTTTTTTTTTTCAACTCCAAGAGAGTAGAGCAAAAATGATCAAAAGCAAAGCCTTTAACCGATCGAGTACAGTTTTTATGAAAAAGCCTTTGGGTTAGATTATGAAACGCAAAGCTGAAAAGTTACATCGATTTTTCGAGCAGAGATAGAAGGAGGAGATGATAAATTACGAACTTAAAGGCAGATATATAATTTTCACGACGAACACGAGTTCGAGTGAACCGATATAATATAATATAACTTAACTCGAATAAATAATTTCGATAGAAAATAAATTAATTACGTAAATTTACGTAAATTTTCGAGAATAATATAGAAAGTTGACGATTAAATATCCGGTATTGGCGATATTCAGAGAAGAGTATTGATATACGCGCATACGTATACGTGCACGTGTATAAAGTGTCGCTATAACGCACGGCTTGATACGGAAGATGACTCGGCTAAGCCTCGACTCCGGTTTCCTATGCGCGAGAGGTTTCGGCTATACGTACATCGATACGTAGTAGGCTTAGTCCATTCCACCCTTGATACTTATACCGTTATATTCATAGCTCGCTGGAAGAAGGAGAATACGAGCAGAGCCGTACCAAAAATTGGAAGAGAAAGCAGCAGTTATACGTGCGTTATATGGTAGATACTTGTACTGAAAAAAAAAAAAAAAAATAATTTTTTCGTTCGAGATTCATCTTTGTATAAAATATCCGATAAATTGGAAAAACATGTTTATCATTTTTCTACGTTTCTTATAGATAAATACGCGATAAAATATTGTATCATACGTATTATTCGTTACGTACGATAAATTTGCAACGTGCCATTATTCCATAAAAGAGAGAGTAAGCAAGATCACTTTTTTTCCCAACATTTATCAATTTTCATATTTCGGATCTCCAGGTAGAGAAAAATATAAAAGGATATTTAAGGCGAAGAAGAAAGAGATAACGGTGATTTTATTCGCGTAATGACTCGTGCCCGGCCTGCGAACGAGAGCCTGTAAATTCATATCAGAAGAAAGCGAATGAGATAATTCAATTTTGCGGAAAATAAATGGAAGGGAAGTTTTTCCTCAACGGTTCTTTCAAATAACATTTTGATTCCCAACTATTTACGTCATTTTGCCAAGGGAATGGCGTCGAATTTTTGTCAACCATTTTGTTTCGCGATATTTCGCGGCGGAGGAATCGTTGATTTTCGTTTCGGAATTTCGTGGCGCGATTAATGTCTGTTGTTAGCGTCGCAGTTAAAACTTTTTATTTTCCCCCCTCTCTGTGTTCAACGGAGATTTATACAACTATTTATTTATTTCTTTTTCGCCCCGAGAAAAACTAAAAGTAAAATGTTAACGACAATTTCGAAAAATCAGCGATAATTATATATTGGCGGATATTTTTGTTTCGATAATTACCCTTATGATTGGTTTGACAGGTTCTCTCGAAATTTATTTTATCTTAAACGATACATGGGATGTTGTTACGAACCCAATAAAACGTTTATCTTTCGTTCGTATTTAACGAACGAATAATATAATATATCGTTTTTTAATTTTTATCGAATTAACGGGAAATCAGAATGTTTCAGATATACACATTCGTAACGATTCCTCATTAATTAAATAATCTAATAATAAATTTCTAATACTTTTCGATATCCATCGAAAATGACATCGACGTAGTATTTCGCTTTGTGGTAGGAGAGAGAAGCCGCCGTTGATAAAGATACTTAATGCCTTTCAATTTACCGCATTAATGAATTTTTCAACGAGCATACCCTCCCTACATCCCTCCGTCGATTCATCGAATAAACAGGCATGCTTCGCTCTTGTAATAACAAACCGTGGTTCGCCCGCTGCGTTAACCGGCGATATAATAAACGTAAACTCGTGCCGGAACACAAATTGCAACCACACCCACGTTCTCAAAGGTCGAACGTCGAGTTACCACCACCACCACGATGCTTTCTCGAGAAAAAGTTGCTCCCGCGTACAACTCGGAGGAAAATTGTTCCTCTTTCATTCGGATGCTCGCTCTTTCATTGGCCGATATGCACCGACGAATCTTCTCTTCCCTTTTATATCGCTTTGCGAACAACGCGTTGGTTAAAAATTGTAGGGATAAACCGAATCGTATATATATATATATCACGAAAAGTATAAAACGAGAAATGAAATCGAAAAGAAAGAAAGAAATTGCGTCATCTTTCTCGCAAATCTTCTTCTCGCTCGTCGATGACTCGATGGAATCGTGATTTCAACGAAAAAAAAAAAAAAAAAAAAAAAAAATGGTAGAAAACGTTATGTTGGAAGCGGAGAGGCGAGTTACGTAAGAAGACTTGGTTTTTCAATCTTCCAGTTGCTCGAACTTGGCTGCACGCGTACGTATGCAAAGCCGGCGTTCGCCGAGCGTACAACCGTTGAAAGTTAGGCGAATACGACGTACGAACATCGTACTCGGTCGAGAGTCTCTACCGCAATTAGAACTCTACTGGCTGCTTTCGCCGGAGAAAACTTTGAAACTCCAGTTATTTTTAATAAACGACGAAATGGTCATTGGTGTAACAACACCACCAACCGCGCTCCATCGGGATTATAAGTTAACTCGTATATAAGTAAGGAACTGGTTCGAAGAAAATCGCGTATATACACGCGATAAGAAGGAAGATAAGAATAGAGAAAATCGTTTCTTTTCTTTTTACGTTTTCGAATATTTATATAATAAATTTTTGCTCGAGACGATACAGAGGAGTATAAAGATGGAGCTGGTTCGAACACTTACGGCATCCGTATAAAGGTCGATTAACCTCGAAGGAACGTTTCCCTCGTAGTAATTATCCGACAACGAGGTATGGAATTCGCTCACGATTCATCCGTTCGTAAGTAAACTGATAGGGGCAGGGCGGGCGCGTACAACATTCGCAGTTTGCATGGAGAATTACGTGGATGGGGCCGTAACAGGTCTGGTGCGGTAACGGCCGACTGGCTGGTCAAAGGAACGATTTAACCCCTGTTGACCTCGTGGCTCCAACTTTACTTTCGTTCTTTCTTTCTCTCGGTTGTCAGGTTACGACACCTAAATACACATACGCACGTGGCACATGCACGTTTATTCGTTACGTGCGCGTACACGTGCACCGTCACGTACCCTAATAGAGAGGAGAGAAAATGGCGGCAATGGTGGTGGTGGTGGTAGAGAGCGTGGGCCGAGCTATGCCCAGCTATTAATACCGCGTGGTACTTTGGTCAAACGATAATTAGATGGACGTTACCCTTACGAGAATAATCGAGTAATTAGATTTAATTGACGCAAACGGGAAATCCCCTCTCCTCCTCGTAACGATACGATTCGTTATTTCTCATTTTAGTGGAAAGAGAAAGGGAAATTCTTGGGGGATTTGAATAAAGGAAAAGAAGATCGTTCGATGAGTTTGGCGGAGAAGAAAAGATTCGGATAGGAGACGGATCGGGGCGCGATATATAAATTGGAAGGAAGTAAGGAAGGCGCGGAAGATGGAAGTGGCGAGATTCTCGTTCGTTGTCCGAATATTGGATTTCACCCGTGTGGCAAGAAACTACCCTCTCTCGCGGAATATCCCCTTTTTATTCCCTTTTTCGTCGCCTTCTTCCATTTCCGTATGTACGTAGCGTACGTATACGTAAGCGTAAGCCCGCGCTTCCTTCCTCCCCGTTGGAGAGGAGGAGGAGGAAGAAGAAGAAAACGGACGTATCGAGTAAAGGGAAAGATTCCGGTGGCCGAAGGTGAGGTAAGAACTATTTAAATTGAAATTGAAGCTTCCATTTTCTAACTCTCCGCTCTAACCTCTCTCTTCCCTCCCCCCCCTGCCCCGTATTCCGTCATGCCATTCGATCTCCTAAAAGGGAGAAACGTCTAAGTACCAGCAACGCCTCGCACTTTCGAAATTGGCTAGTAAATCGCGGATGGGTAGGAAGGGGAAGATGATTCTGATCCACCGAGTTCGTAAATTATCAGCCTCTCTAAGAATCCTCCTTTCCTCTCCATCTTCCCTATCCTCCATTTTTCCCTCCCTTTTTTTCCTCTCTTTTCTTTAAACAAATCTTATCATCGTTGCGAGAAGAATTTCTCTTTTTCTCAATTTCTCTATCGATTTTTACCTCACCCTATATATCCTTCGTTCCGATTTTTCGTCTTCGTCGGCGTAAATGAATTTAGCTTGAAATTCGAGATGATTAAGTAATAGACACGTTACTATGACGTAGAGAGATAGCGACGTGGCTATCAACGGGATGCCCTCGAGAGTGGCCAGGAGGGCGGTAAGTGAAATTCTGTCCACTTTCGAGGGGAGGGAGAGAGAGAGAGAGAGATCCAATAATCCAGGGATTGGGCCAGGCATGGTCTATTTAATTCACTAGGAAGGGGATTGATACGTTTACCTGTATCTACCTCACGCATCCTCTCGGTTTTCCTTGTAACGCGGTGACTCCCAACGGGGAAACAGTCGATACTGCACGTTACACGCGCCGTATATCGAATATAACTCTTCCAACACGATTCGCGTATTCTTTCTTAACGCTTTTTGTCTCGGATACAACCCTCCCGTTAGAATACTTTACCGAAATTTCAATTCTCCTCGAAAGATCTTCAATTTTTCGAAACGTTCCGTCGTTAATATTCCGTCCATTCGATTATCTTCGTTTCTTATTAAGATTACCAGTCTAGGCCGAGAAGAGAAAGAATATTTCCCGATGGAATTTAGAATGCAGCGTCTCGCATGAATTCGAGGCATAAATCGGGCGAAACGTTAACGAAGATTCGCTCGAATAGATCGAAATAGTATTTTATCTTCTCGAAGAAGTAGAAATTTGTTTAATCTCGATCGACGAGTATATCGAGTTAGCGGAGAAAGGGGGTGTGGGGGGGCGAGGAGTTTCGAAATGGCGGACTTAAAGTCAATAAGGGAGGGAGGGAGGGCGAAGCAGAAGTGATGAGCCGAGGAAAAGACCTCTCGCAAAAGTTTGGAAAGAGTTTCGATAAGTCGCACTCTTGCTCCGTCCACCGCTGGGAGAGACTCGGGTGTGCTTATGGGCAATTTCATCCGACCATTCCCAAGATCAAATCCGAGTAGTAAAGTTTTGCTTCTTAAGGAAACCGCGACAGATTGTACGCTCACCGATTTCTCTTTTTAGAACTTTGATACATTCACCGCTGTTTCATTTAGCGGTATTTTTCTTGCAAACTCGGAATACTCGGC